ACACCGTCCTTACTCAACCTTGGGTTCTCTATCACCAGCTTTCCTGTCCCCTTCTGCCTTCTAGTCCTTGTCCCTGGACTGCTGTGCCTCATTAGTCCGGTTTTATTTTATGGGGCTGTCCAGTCCCCAGCTGAATGGTAAACCTCAGAGTTGACTTCACCACTGAGCTAAAAGGGTGTCTGGGGGCCATACTCTCAGGGTTTCTCCAGTCTCTTTCAGGCCAGTAAATCTGGTCTTTTTGTGTGTGTTAGAATTTTGTTCTACATCCTTCTCCAGCTCTGTCCAGAACCCTCTGTCATGTCTCTGTTTCTTGACACAGTGTGAGGGTGTGGGGGACTGGATGGAACTGGTAGGAAGTTGGCCTGGAGGAGGGTGAAGGGTGGGAAGTGGGCAGATGGCCACCCAGCAGGGGAGGCAGGGCACTTTGGGGGCTCCGAGCAGGCCTGAGCAGAGACTCAGAAGCTGGAGCTCGTCTTGCCCACTAAGCAGCCGGCTGATCAACTTCTCAGTTGACCTTCCTCCATGTGATTGTCCAGAGTCGAGTGGACACCGCAGGCAGCAGGCAGCCCTCCTCCACAAGGTTGTCCAGGGAGCAGATGCTTTCTGTCTTGTTGTTTCAGCCTTTCCTGACATTGACTGTCCGAGCCACTTCCTGCTTTGCACACTTACACTCCTAGACATCATAGTTTGTAGCATTGACATAATAAATTTTCATCAGATGGCAGACAAGGACTTTGAGGAGAAGCAGTGCCTTTTCCTGATTCAGACTCTGTCACTGTAATGCTGAAAACGACTTTATTTCTTCTCCTTGGTCAGCTTTGACTTGACCGTGACCCGGAGACCCACGGTGGTTTCTTAACCTCCTGGGTTTTGGAGACCCCATCCCTCCTCCGGGATGTGCTCACTTCCCAGTATCCAAGACTGTCTTCTGGGGATGACAAGTACGGCTTGTCTCAGCCAACCAGTACCAACTGCTGTTGAGTTGACTCTGGCGCGTGGTTACATCCTCTGTGTGAGGGGAGAACTCTGCTCCATAGGGTTTTCAATGGCCAATTTTTCCAAAGTAGATCGCTCAGCCTTTCTTCTGAGGCACCCCTGGGTGGACTTCACCCTCCAGCCTTTCAGTTAGCAGCCAAACATGTTAACTGTTTGCATCACCCAGGGACCCCTACCTTGGCCTAGGTGCCTGGAATGTCCCTTTATGTCCTGAAAGGGCTTCTTGATGACCCCAAGGTGCTGTGAACTCCCTTGTCATCTAAAAATAGCTCATTTATCTGTGTATCGTTTGCTTGGAGGTCAGTTGTTTCAAATCGAAAGTTGGTGGTGTATCACCTGATTTTGGGAGGCTTCTTTAAGAGGGTCCCTCTCACCCTTTCGTATGTTAAATGTAGTAAATTGCATGAACTGGTTTCCTAACACTGACCATCCTTGTCGTCCTGGGGTAAGTCACTATGTCCTTCTCACAGACACAAAGCTTTGTTTAAGGGAGAGCATTTGATCAGGAGAGAGATGGGCCATCTCCCCGGCGGGTCCTGCCTGCTTGTCATCTGCGTGAGCCCAGCTGGCGTTCCTCTGGTCCCCACAAGGCTAAAGGCTTGTGCTTTGAAAGCTTTTGTAGAACGCTGGGCCTCAGTGGGAGGTAATGGAATCTCCTTCACACTGAGGGGAAGGAGAGGGAGCCGTTAGGAGGGAATCTGGACGAGGTGAAGCTAAGTAGACAGACCACAATATGGTGTACACTCTAACTTCTGGTAATTCTGTAGACTCTCATATCGTCTCGGGAAAATGCCTGGTCTAAAATTTAATAGAAATTTTTATTTTCCGGCTGGCCACACATTCCAAACATTTATGTATCAACATTTGATGCTTTCAGGTGGGATTCTTCAGCCTCCATTTTTGTTATTTGAACGATTTGTCATGTAGGCTAGGATGCCTGCTAATGTCCTCTTTGTTTACTTGGGATTTGATTGCTCAACATTTTTTTTTGAACCCACCAGTGATTGTGTTGTAAACCACGTGCTTCAGTGCCGGGAAGAGTTTCAATCAGAGTTTGGAAGGTTGCCTTGAAACTCTCCAGAGCACAGAAACCCTGATTGCTAAAGTTAACCTGCCAGGTGTGCACTCGTGCACATGTGTGTGTGCTTACAAAAGCGCAGGACAAAGACAAACCAAAGAGCCACAAAAGGCTAGACCTCTTTTTCTTCGTGGCGCTGTATACTGGCCTGACTTATGAGCTGGGGGTAGTTGAGGTTGGAGTGTCCGGCAGGGGCTAAACCAGCCACCCATGGTTCTTCAATTTTAAAGTAATAAAAATTAAATAAGAATTAAATGAAAAAATAGTTACTTAAGAATTCATTTCCTCGGTTGCATAGGCCACAAGCTCGGCTTGCAAGAGGACAGACCTGGATTTGGGTGGTGACGCCACCATCCACCTGGGACCATGGCTTTGGGCATAGCACTGCCCTGTCCTAGTGTCTGCTTATCTGGTAAACAGAGATGATAACAGCTTTAGCTCTAGGTGGAATGAAGGGCAGGGATCTTAGCAAGCATCCTGAACGCAGTAGTTGAGATGATGCTATTTGTTAACATTAGAATTATTGTCATTATTGGGTGTCTTAGGCTGGGTTCTCTAGAGAAGCAAAACCAACAAAGCATCTCTCTCTATATATAGATAGATAGAGACAGAGAGAAAGATTTATATCAAGGAAATGGCTCACGCGGTTATAGAGGCTGGAAAGTCCCAAGTCTGTGGGTCAGGCTGGAGGCTTCTCCTGACTCACATAGCTGCAGGAGCTGGCGAACCCAGTATCGGCAGGTCAGACGGCAGGCTTCTGGCTCGCAGGCTGTGGAGGCCAATAGATCCCAAGATCAGCAGGTAAGCTGCTAGCTCAAGTCCCACGAACCGGAGGTCAGATGAACAGGAGCCAGCTGCAGGAACCAGAGCAGAGTGAAAGGCAGCTAGCATTGCCAGAAAGTCCACCTATATTGGATGCAGGCCACACCCCCAAGGAAACTCCCTTTCAATTGATTGGCTGCTGACAGCACATCCCATCATGGAGGTGACCACATTATATCAGATCTCTTCACGGAAGTGATTATATCATTATACGACTGCCAAACTATGTCATAACTGCCAAACCACTGAGAATCGTGGCCCAGCCAAGTTGAGATACAACATTAATGATCACAGTGGGTTCAACTGTTTCCAAGTTTCAGGGCCTCAGCACCCCCTAGGGGGCAGGATTCAGAATAAACCTCCACCAGGCTCTCAGGGTGGTCTTGTGGTATAGTTTCACTTCCTTCTGGGTTATGGCTCTTGCACGAAAGACTCACTCCACCCTGCCTTTCTACGTCCACTGCCTGCCTGTTCACACCATCCAGGATGGAAGGAATCATCCAGGCAATGCCAGATTTGTTTTTCCATGTCCTTTCTTTTAAGAGC